ATGAACTTGATTCTGACAGCACCATATTTAGCAAGAAATTTCTATTTAGCTTCCTGACATAATTTTCTTTCTGAATTCTTTTATGTTGAAATATGGCAATTTACAGGTCTCTTGCAACATTCTGGAAGATAAAATTAATATCTCAAATTTCAAATTTGAGTATTTAACTACCTATAATTACTGGAATTGGAAATTCTGGATGAATCTAATCAGTGGTGAAGTTCAAATTTTTTTACTACCGGTTCTGTGAGTGTGGCTTGGTGGACGTGGCAGGGGAAGGATACTGCAAAATCCCCATTCCCATCCCACTCTGGGGCCAGTCGGAGGTGGTATTTGCCAGTTCTCCAAACTACTCAAAATTTCCACTACCAGTTCTCCAGAACCTGCTGAATTTCGCCCCTGAATCTAATTCATCTCCAAAAATGATAATGCCTTTATGTTATATTTTAGTTTTACCATACTTCCTTTTCTTTTCCATGGTGCCTGTTGCAAATAAGGTGCATATTTGAAAGACAGATTTTATTTGTTATTTATTTGATATATCTAGCCTTTATTTTGAACATCCCAAAGTGACACATACTTGTCATGCACATGACATACATGTACAGACGCAATACAGAGGAAGATCCTATCAACAGTAGTTTCATATGTCAGCACAATGTCAAGTGCATTTCCTTTCTTGAATACAGCATGAGACAAGAGTCTTACTGAAGATACAGATTCTGTATCACAGAATGACCCCTGAAAAGATTGGTTGGTGGGTTCCCAATTTTTTTAAAGTTCTATTATGGAAAAATTATTAACTTGGAGGTCTTCATAGCTTATCTTTTTATTGTATCCACAAGATAATGTTTCCTTTATCTTTGTAGCTGAGACATTAGGTTGTTGGACATCCATAATGAAGAAAGGCAAGATGCACAGAGTACTGAATAAGTGAAATTTTTCTTCAAACAAGGATAGAGAACCAAAGATTGGAAAAAAACTAGATGAAAGAATAAAATCCAAAACTAATAGATGCTGTGGAAAGTAGAAGTTGTGGAAAACTCTCAGAAAGTAATTTCTCATGAAGCTCATGATTGAAAGAAATGTTTGGATGAATGTGAACTTTAGACTGGGGATCATGATAAAGCAGATGGGTTATATTTACAGTATTGTCATGTGTGCCCAGTTTGTTATTTTGATGGTTTTTGTCTAAGGTTTCCTAGTTCTTTGTTATAGTAATGAAATGAATGTTCTGCATCACATAAAACATGTACCAGGACGATTTCTCATGTGACTCACTATGAGAGAATGAATTTGGAGCTGCTGTCTGCACTTCGGAAAACCAGCAGCAGAGCCACACTGTAAGCCCTCCCAAGTAAACCAGATAGGAAACAAGACTTGATGAGCTAACACTACTTTATGGTAAGGCTACGTTAACAGAATCTTGCAAATCTTGCACATCCACTTAGATCTGCTGCCTGCAATTACTGCAAGTTCAAATCTCCCCAGGCTCAAGGTTGACTCAGCCTTCCATCCTTTCTAAAGTAGGTAAAATGAGGACCCAGATTATGGGGGCAATAAACTGACTTTGTATAAATATACAAAAGTATGAAGGCTATTGCTTAACACATTGTAAGATGCCCTGAGTCTCCAGAAAAGGGCGGCAAATAAATCAAATAAAAAAATTAAAAATTAAAATAAAAATCTGAAGGTATACACTTCCTGCCACTGCTTTTAACCGCTTGATCAATTAGGGTGGGTCCTTCCTAAATTTCTTTCTCTGATGGTTAAAATACTGGGGCTCCTGCCTCTCTTGTCTGATTGTTTCCTAGGCAGCATCTCATCTCCTTTTGTCCCCCAAGGTCATCTACACATCATACAGACTGAATCGCATCCCGTCCTCACTTCCTTCATGCATTCATACATTTATTTACAATATTCAGAAGCATCCAAGCTGGTGTTGCAGCTGGCTGTGATAATTGAGCCACACCTTGGCATTTGCAAGGATATGTCCAGAGGCAGCCTAACGCCACCCACGTCCTTAGCTTGCAAAAGCAAGCACTAAGACGGAGGAGTAGGAGGAAAGGTGACAAACTGGCATATGGACAGGGAAGAGGAGAAGACATCCGGAGATAGGTAGCTATTACAAGCTATTACAAGCAAGCGTAAGGGCTATCAATTACCAGCATCGTAGCTATGGTGAGCAGCACATCCTTGTGGAAGTCCTGCTTGAAGCTTTGCTGAGAGTTCGGTAGCAACTAGAAGTGAAACAACCACACTGAAACAGTATCTCATTCCAACTAAGACAAGAATGTTTGCAAAAAAAGGCAAAGGGTGTGTGCTACTTTATAGACTTGGAGACTTTTGTTTGAACTAAGTATTAAAAGCCTGAGTATAAAGGCCTGCATATTAAAGACATTTATGTGACAAAGTGACCTTGTAAAGCCTATAAGGTGGAGTAGACCAAAAGCAATAGCTTTTTTGGGTGAAAGGTGTGTGCTGCAATAAAGCATTGTGCACAGATTTGCTACACTGGTATGTCCAGTCCTTGGGAAAACAGAAGCCTCACACTTGCCTTCCATTTATGGTCCTGCAACATTCTTTACATGGGGCTGCCTCTGAAAAGCATTTAGAACTGATTTTTGGCATTCCTCATTACACCCATGTAATACCACTGCTCCACAAGCTGTGCTGGCTCCCAGTAGGCTTGTCAAGGTGCTGGTTGTTACATATAAAGCCCTTCATGGCATAGAGTCAGAATACCTCCTGGGGCCACCTCTGTCCCATTGTTTTTGCCTGTCCCATAAGATCTAGTAGAAAGCATGCTTTGGGTCAGTTCTATTAAACCATGTCTTGTTGCAACGTGAAGTCATGCCTTGTCAGTGGCAGCACCTGTGCTATGGAACAACATAACCCCTGGAATTCAGGTGACCCCAGTAAGGCACTGAAGACTTGGTCCCTCCCCCAGGCATTTGGGTCAGTGGATAGAAAAGCTCTGCTGTTGTTGATAGTGAGTTAAGTTCATGATTTTCTTAAGTGGTCATCTGAGTGGGTTGTTTGTTTTAATCTTGTAAAACACCCAAAATCACTTGTGTGAGATGGATGGCTATGTAAGTTAAATAAATAAACAAGGAGAGCAGTGCCTTGCTAGATCATATCCCTGGGCCATTTAATCCAGAGGTGGGTTTCAGCAGGTTCTGACCAGTTCTGGAAAACTGGTAGCAGAAATTTTGAGTAGTTCGGAGAACCGGTAGTAAAAATTCAGACTGGCCCCACCCCCATCTATTCTCTGCCTCCCAAGTCCCAGCTGATTGGGAGGAAATGGGGATTTTGCAGTATCCTCCTGGATTGGGGAGAGAATGGGGATTTTACAGTATCCTCCTGGAGTGGGGTGGGAATGGAGATTTTACAGTATCCTTCCCCTGCCCTGCCCACCAAGCCATGCCACGCCCACCAAGTCACACCTACAGAACTGGTAGTAAAAAATTTTGAAACCCACAACTGATTTAGTCCATCAGCCTTTTCTCAAATTCCAACGTTCAGTTACACATTGTGTTGATCTTTCTGGCTTTTTTATAAATACTTTATTGTACTGTATTGGTCTTTTTTCAACAATAGAGGCATACTGTGTCACTACCATTATTCCAAGATTCCTTTCCTTATCAGTCAAATGCTAGCTCGGATCCCTAGTTCGTATGAATATTTAGGATTTTTGGTATCAATGCGTATCATTTTACACTTGCTCATATTGAATGACATGTACCATTTTCACACCCACTCCTCTAATGTGCAGAGATCACTGTAAGAGATTCTTGCAGACTTATTCCTTTAAATCTAGTTCATTATATGTATAAGCTAGATGGGTTTTGTTTTTGTTTTTTTGCGGGGGGGGGGAGAGGTTGGGAGAGCAATTGGAGACAGAAGGCTGAACTGATAAATGTATTGTACTTGAGATCAGCGATGGGTACTGGTGGTAGCAGCAGTTTTACTGAATTACTGAAATATATTTAGTACTAACTTTTTTGTAATGTAGAATCCCCTTTATTATGATATGGTATTTGCTTCTAGAAGTGATGTAGATGTAGAGGGGAAAAGACCCGGGTCGCGCCTGCCATTGTGGTGCTGCGATGTTAAACTCCAAAAAGAAACGTAGAGAAAGGCAACTGAAGTCTGAATCCAATCGACTGAGTGAAAAGACTGGTGGGACTGACGCAAAGTAGGCGTGACCTGAGCTACAGAGGGATACGGCACAGCTCAATTCCAATGCAATATCATACGAAATAATTACATCAAAATGAAAATAAAACAAAATCTATGAAAATTCAATTTAACAATGCAATCGGAAACATTGAAATGGAATCGTAAAATTGGAAATTTGTAAATCGTAAATGGATCGTAAATCAGAAACATTGAAATGGAAGCGTAAAATATTTAGTATAGCATGTGTTGCTTTTATGTCCAGCAGATGATGCCATTTTTCAATGTTTTTCATGTTTTTACCTGTCACAGGTGTGACATCTATATAATATAGGTATATAAAAACACGTGCGTATTTGAATGCAATGTTGTGTCAAAATTTCAAAGCAATCGGTGAAGAACTTTCGGAAATTTACAATTTTGAACAAACGAACATTTACATTTTTATTTATATAGATTTATGCAATAGTGTCGAATATTTGCAGCTCAGCTGTTAGAATGAGGGTGAAGGTTCGTTCTCTGAGCTTGTGAGTTGATTTCTGAACATTTTGTTACCAGTCTAGGTAGCATCTTCAGTGGAGTTTAGGGGATGTCAGTGTCAGTGTTCTTCTGTTTATAATTTTTAGATGTATTTATATTTTTACTGAGAAAAAAATAGCTGGGCAACATTTTCTTTTGAGTAGAAAATTAGTACAGATAGAACATGACTTCTATAATACTCCAAATGTTAACAAGTTACAACTCCCAGCAAGTGACATCAATAGAATAGAATAGAATAGAATAGAATAGAATAGAATAGAATAGAATAGAATAGAATAGAATAGAATAGAATAGAATTTTTTATTGGCCAAGTGTGATTGGACACACAATTTGTCTTGGTGCATACGCTCTGGGTGTACATAAAATAAGATACATTCGTCAAGAATCATAAAGTACAACACTTAGTCATAGGGAAACAGTCAATATAAATCTTAAGGATACCAGCAACAAGGTTACAGTCATATAGTTATAAGTGGGAGGAGATGGGTGATAGGAATGATGAGAAGATTAATAGTAATTCCAAGGGAAACTGTAATTCATCAATATCTGGAACATAATAAGAAATCATCTTTCATTAGTCTGAAATAAGACAACTAATTTAACTGTAAAGTGAGAAGCTTAAAGTCTCTCGAGAATTTAAAAAAACTTGTTTTCTGGGATGATTGTGTAGCATTAGTTTCAATCTGGTTAAAATAAAATCCTTAATAGATAAATAAATTCCCATTTGTTTTTTATTTTGACTTGGATTTGTTATACTCCTAGATATAGGCCAATGCTGATTACTGGTAATTCTTGCCCTAATATACACATCATGCCTACTGTTTATTTAATATATCTAGTCTAGATGCGCTTTTTGTGAATAAAATTGTAAAGCTTAACATTTTTGACTGTAGATTACAAATTCAATAGTTGTCACCCAAAACAGCCAGTTTTCTATGAATATTTTATTATTATAATAATTAATTTAACTGTTGATGACTCTTTCAATTGTAACAACTCCAAGAAAGGTAGCCATGCTAATTGGTTCTAACAATTCCTACTTCCAACAATTTACTTTTATGCAAAGCTTAAATATATGCAATGATACATTTAACAACAATATCATTTAATTAATGATATTAATTAAAATAAATGTAAGCAACAAGAAAAATAAATTATAAAAAAGAAAAATTTAGTGATTTAGTATCAATTTAGAATTTGAATTCTTAACTTAATCACTAAATTTAGATCCAACGGCAGGGGTGTCAAACTCAATTTCATTGAGGGCCACATCAGGGTTGTGTTTGACCTTGGGAGGCTGGGGTGGTGTGGCCAGGATGGGCATGGCCAGCTTGATGTCAATTGTTTTGGGGGTGTCTGGGTGATCCGCGGGCTCTGCCAGCGAAAACACTCTCTCCCAATCTCCGTTTTCAGTTGTGACGGCTTGCTGAGCTCCATTTTTGCTGGCAGAGGTACTGCGGGCTGGTCCTTCGCTGTTTTCAGGACAGCCCCATGGGCCAGATCTAAGCGCCCTGTGAGCCCTGAGTTTGACATCCGTGTCCTATGGGAACATATTGCTTCATCTCATTTTTAGAACATAAAACTTCTTCAAAAATAGGCAAAACATGAATCCATTTTTTAATATCAGGATGGTTAAATTTCTTTATATAAAATTAAAATCCTTTTGATGTGTCCCAGGCTCAGTAGAATCAAAGTGTTTCATGAAGTGATAAATTCCATATTTTCGAAATATGGTTGAGCATCATCTTTATGTCTTTACCTATTATACTTCTTTGCAAACTCCCATTAATATACACTGATTTGAAAGCAAAACAAAGATAGAGCTAGGCAAGATCAAATCATATTAAATAGAACTCTCAAATTTCTTGCAATTCCCCCACAATAGAAATCTAATACCCAACTTTTTAAATTCCTTTTGGAGAGATTCTATAGATAGGGGAATTTTTAAATTCCTTTTGGAGAGAATACTATAGATAGGGGGTTCAAATTATTAGTCTCTCACAGTTGCTCTAATGAGATTGGGGGGATATACATCAAATAAATATATTTTCAAATGAATTTATTTCATTCTTAAAAGTTTTAATTCTTAAAATGATAAAACAAATTTACATCTCTAAAAACTTTAATCCATTGATTTTATAAGATTGCATATTCCAATTCTTCATTCCATAATTAGATATCTAAAGTTATGTCAACTTCCATTCTGCTTTTTAGTGCCATATAAAATTGGGAGTCTTGATTCAATTCAAGCACTGCATCATTTAAAGTTCCTAATATTGCAGGTTAGCTTCCAGGCTGTTAAACCATCTCGGGCATACAGCTTATTCAGTGCATATTTCAGTTGCGTGTATTATGAAATGGAGGTTATAAATAAACCATATTCATAATGCAAGACTTTTACACAACCATTATAAATCAATTGATTTAAGATATTTATCCCTTATTTGGACCAAGCATTCTAGTATAATATAACTCCTATTACTTTCAAATTAGGGTTACTCCACAATGTCAATTTATCCTGTGATTTGGGATCAAAATGTGGCCACGTATCTATTTATGCGCAAATATGTCTACAAGCTTTCAAGACTAAAAATAAATATTCCTATTTAATATACTTGGAGCATAAAACTTCCAAGATTTCAGAGGGATTACACACCTGCTATCAATAGGCCCAGAGAGAGGAATATTCAGGATGGATGGATGATGGATGGATGGATGGATAGATAGATAGGGAGAGATCTTAAAATGCAGGCTCTATAATAAAGGTGAAAGTAGGAATTAACCTTGGAATCCTTAAAATATACAAGAATCTCAATGTAAAGTGCATTTCAATTATATTAATCTCGCCCTAAGATATAACAGAAATTTTAGGCATTGTGTTACATCTACTGAAATTGCATTCTATGCGTTTAAGATGTATTTAATTAAACATATTGTGCTATCGTTTGAGAAAAACCATGAACCCAAGACTTTTAGAATCAGTACACATTGTAATCCTTGCTTCTTGCACAAACTATTGACAATTCAAATCCCAAAATTATAGACTTTTGCCAATTAATAATGTAACTAAAGTCAGGGCTATATTGTTGTATATTCTCAGCAAACTGTGGTTAGTGACTATTTATTTAGAGAGGTTGCCATCTAAATCTCACTTGCTTTAGAGCTGCTAAACAAATCCACCAACTAAAACGAACACTTTTATTTTATGTTGTTACCCCTTTGTGAAAAGTCCGGCACCATTCAACCTGCACTGTTCCTTTAATAATTAACGAGGGGAAGAAGAAAAAAAAGACAAAGCCACATTTACCTATAAATAGAAGTGACGTCACATCGAGTCATTGATTTCGTTTTCTACACGTCACTGCCGTTCCGCTGCCTGTTCTTTTTCGGAGCGAGCCGCTCGAGCCAATCCAAATGTTCCCATGGTAACCGGGGTAGGTGCCAGGTGCCCCCTTACCAGCAATGTTCAATGGCGAAATGCGGTTTCCTCCGCTCAGAGGCCGGGTGCGTCGAGAAAAACCAATCAGAGGGCAGAGTCGAAGCGAAAGGGGGAGGGATTTGCGAGCGGCAGCCGGTGCCGAAGTATAAAACGGGGAAGGCGAGCGTCGCGTGTGATTCTGCGGTGAGTGCCTGATGTTCCCGAGGGTCGTCTGAGAAGAAAGACCTGAAGGTGAGCAACCGAGGGCTGTACTGCCTTTCTCTATCTTAAAAAGTCGTCGCCTGCCGTTTAGTGCCTCGTTATTTCATCTATACATGTATTTCTTCATTTTCTCAATCAGAAGATGGTGATGGCTTGAAGTGCCCTTGGCTGTTAAAACCAGTTACTCCAGTAATGTGACATATGTAGAAAGTCGGTTATGGGAGAAGATTAGTTGGAATATTTTCAGAAAGGTCTTTGGCTGACTTTCAAGTTTTTTTTTAAAGCTCTGCTGTCGATTTTGCTGCTCCGCCAATTTTTCATCGATATTTTAATAAATAATCCGAGGTGGCTAATAATCAAAATTGCTGCAAAACTGGTCATAGTCATATTATTAAAAGGATTGATGGGGGTACCTTTTCCTCAATGAAATGCCCATTCTTAAAGCCGTCTTAACCAATAACGGGCAGAGTTGGGGGGCATTTGGAGCACATTTGTGTTGTGGAAAATTGGCTTAGGGATTTCTTACTTTTATTTCTTCTTCCAATGTTTCTGGTTTATTATTCCACACACTGTAGATTTTCCATGATTTTTGAAAGATACGTCCATGCAAGTAACTTAAGAGTGAGGTTCCACCCTACAGCAATTTTATTTCTCTTCAGAATGAATGAAACTCATCCAGTGCTTTCTTTTGAAGTATATGCACCTAGCTGTTCTGGAGAGAAAGACAGAGAGAAACCCAAAGGGCTATATGTGCCTTATTTTAATAGGATTTAGTGAGTGTGCATAATTTGGATTTTTTTCTGGGGTTTGCTTTCCTACGTGTGGTTGGCAGTTTGCCCACAATTAAGTTCATTCACAAAATTCCAGATTTACATCCCAAACCAAGATTTCATAATTTACTGTCATCTTTTTAAAAATATTTCATTTATTTGACCGTTACATTAATTTTTTAAACTCATTTTACTTCTATTTTTGAAGTTTTAGCTTTTGTTTTTTACTTTGTCCTATCTTGCCTTTGGTTCATTACCTGTGAAATTCACTACTAAACAGTGTTAAAATACTGAGTCTAGGATGTTCAGTATGAGGAGCATGGTCCCTTCTTTGCAGATAGGGTGGGGTTTGAAGAAAGCAAGAAGTATTATTATGAGCTTTTGTTAGAAGTATTAAAAAATCCTTTAAATGCCTACAACTATTTAAAATGTATATCCTCTTTCATTGCCTTCCCTAATAATACTGCTCGCTCCATGTTCTCCTCTTATACTTGCTTTATCATATAATTTAAATCCTTTCCTTTTTGCATGCTGTGTGTAAAAGAATATATCTCTGAAAATAGATCTCTGTGTCTTTGCATTTTATGGATCACATACATACATCTTTAACGGATGTAGGAATATAAAAAGCCTTGTGCCAACTGAAATCATTTGTCAGGTTTATGCAAGCTGACTGACAGAAGCTCTATTGAGCTTTGGAAAAAATCCTTTCCAGTCTAACTTGATGTCTTCTCACGCACCTGTTTTGTCACAGTTCTCCATTTAATATTCTTAACCAAACTCTAATATTTTTATTTGTTACTCACTTTTCTTTACCAGTTTACCACCTCTTCATTCTAAACTCCTTGACTATATGTTTTCCTTGCCTTGATTTCTTCTGCTTCTGTGTTGCAACATCACCACCTTTTTCCTTCCTCAAAAAAAAAAAAAAAGCTGATTCTTATCAGTGCATTCCTGAATCAGCTGCTGATTTTCTTCAACATTACTTTGGTTTGGTTAAGCCATAAAAATAAACTCTTCAGCATTCTTCTCTAAGAGTGTTTCTCTGCTAATCTGGACTGGGATGCTTTCCTTATTCTTTCTAATTACTGCATTGACGTTTACCAGCATGACCTGAAGCACCTTATAATATCTCTTGTAAAGTATCTATATACCCTAAAAACAAATGATCCTTACTCTCCACAGTGCTGTTTGGCTCAATTACAAAGGATAGATTTTATTTATAGCTATCAAGTAGTTTGTCACAGGTGTTTTCAGAGTATGCTCTGCTTTATATTGAATTTATACTTTTATAAATTAAGTAACAATAGCACTACTGCTTCACAGTGCTTTACAGCCCTCTCTAAGCAGTTTACAGAGTCAGCATATTGCCCCCAACAATTTGGACCCTCATTTTACTCACCTTGAAAGGATGGAAGGCCAAGTCAACCTTGAGCTGGTGAGATTTGAACTGCCAAATTGCAGGCAGCCTGCACCCCACTGAGGTTCTTCTTAAGAATGTATACTTAAAGCACTATTAGAATATGGATAAATTACAGGTGAAATGTAGAATGATTTTAAAGAAATTGTATGTATTTTATTTATTTATTTATTTATTTCATTTATTAATTAAATTTATATGGCTACCCATCTCATGGAAAGTGACTGGGTGGCATACAGCGATGGATAATAAGTGTGAGGATTTTTTGTTTTAAAAAAGTTTTTATGAAGAATTCTAATATAAAAATTCATTGTTATTGTGATATCAGTATTATGAGTGAGATTACTTTTGTATTTAGATGGTGAAATTTTGCAAGTAATCAGTAATTAGAAGTAAAAAAAGGTTGAAGCACATTTTTTTATGAAAAATAAGCTGTACAATTAAATGAATTTCGATTCATTTTACTAGGATCCATGACTGCCCCTTTATAGGTTATGCTTTGATCCAACTTGGAATCCCTGTAAAGGATCAGGATTCTTCAATTCTTAGAGAGCAGAAATAGGGCCTTCCGATCAGCATGGCCAATTGTAAGAAGCAATGAGAATTGCAGTCCAACAGTATCTAGAGACCATTTGCTTCCCATCCTATTATTGTAGTTTATAGCAGAAAAGTGTTATAAACTCTAAAAATATATAGTAAATATTATTCATTAAATGAATTCTTATGACTAATATTTTTGGTGGAAAGTACCACTTCAGGAATGACATTCTTCCGTTTTAAATATGAAAAAATAAACCATTGATACTATTTCTCCAGAAAATGGTGTGCTGGGTGTTGGGGTGACTTTTTTTTTCTCCTGCCAACAAACAACTGACTTTGCTGCCAAAGCTAGTTCTTTGGCAGCACCCTCCCTAAATTTGAATAACCTGCGATGACCCTCAGATGACTGTGTACTTGCAGAAAAGAAAAATCGATAGGATGCAATTCTCAGTAAAAGCGACTGACAGATCAGGTCTCTATCTTTTTCTCTTGTCGTTTGGTTTTTTTTAGGCATGTCTCTTTTAACAACCATACAAATTCTTGTTTTGTTTTGTTGTGTTGTGTAACTGAAAAATATCTGTCAAATTTAAACCTAGCAGCATAAATTGTGTAAGGTTGGGATCAGGAATGTATAAAGAATTCTATGGAGTCTTTGGTGCTCTTTTGGTTGTTTGCTTGTAGATGTTTCATTACCCAACAAGATAACACCATCAGTGCAAGTGAGTGTTAGGTTTGCCCACTTATATATAGTAGCTTGCCCTGCCAATGATTGTAGGGATGTGGTTTTCTCCTTAGTAATTGCTTTATTAGGTGGTATTGTTTTCTGCTTGATGAGCAGTGTGGTAACCTAGAGATGGAGCTCTCGCCTCACAATCAGGAGGCTGTGAGTTTGATGCCAGATAGCGGCAGATATTTCTTTCTCTGGGCGCAAAGAGAAAATATCTGCTTTGAGCTCTATGTAGGCATCAGGAAGGGCATTTAACCAGTAAACACTCAGCTCCATTCAGTTGCCCCGACTCCACCCCCAATGTATTACAGGGCCATTAAAAGAAAAAAAAAAATGTTTTCTGCTTGATTTGTTTGGCTGATTTAATTGCTGCTACCTGCATATTAGCTGTTGCAGATGATGTGTTCTGGTCTTTTTGTTTCCTACTTAGCTTGTTTATTGTCTCTTTTGAATGGTGTGTAAATGTAGTTTATTCTCTATGTGTTCACTGATGACTGATTTGTCTGCATGCCAAGCTTCCAGGAATTCCCTAGCATTTTTTAATTTATCTTGGTCTAGGATCCTTACAGTTTCCCAGTTGAAATTATGATGGAGTCTGTCCATGTGTTCTGAAATGAAGATTTTTAGGACTGCTACTTGGTGATCATGAATGCACTCTGCTAGTTGTATCTCCATCTGTCCTACATAAAATTTATATGCCATCCAGGGCTGTTTTCTACAGTGAGATGGGTGGCACATAAATTAATTAAATAAATAAATAGTACTTGTGTTTCCCAACAGAAACAATCCCAATGGAAGTTGGCAAACGGGCTGTTTCCAACCCCTGGAGGGCCTCCCGGGGGGGGAGGCCGTTTCACCCTCCCCAGACTCCTAGAAAGGCTCTGGAGGCTGGGGAGAGAGAATACCGGGCCTTCCCCAGCCCCCCAAGGTCCTCCAGAGGCAGGAAACAGTCTGTTTCCCTACTTCTGGTGGGTCCAGAAGGCCCGAAAATCAGCTGGCCAGTGCACACATGCACGACGGACCTGAGCTTGCGTGCCCACTGATATGGCTAGGCTTGCCACCTGTGGCACGTGTGCCATAGGTTTGCCATCATGATACTATTTTGTTGGTTGTTTTTTTATTTATGATAGTGTTACCTTTTTATAGCTTGTCTTGGTTGTGCTTTTGTGAGTTGAGTGGTCAAGCACTTTTTTATAAAGTTGCAAGGTGATTCATTTTATTGGACAGTGTTGTATAAGGCAGTTAATAAGGATTGTTTATCAATAGACTTACATTTCTAATTTACTGTTGTTTTCCTCTACTGAGGGGATATATCCAGGAAGTTGTTTTCTTCTTGCTTTGTGAATGTTATTCTTTTGAAAATGTTGTTTATTGTTTCATA